TTATGAAAAATATGGTCCGCAATAACCATTTAACTATTCTACCACAAGACAAAGTGGTAGAACTGGTGAAGAAATATACGTATTTGAGTCGTGAAAGAAGAATCAGCAGGGATATTCAAACATGCGAAATCCAGACACAAATTACTTTAGGGTGGGCAGATTTTGGAAAACTGCGAGAAACACTTAGGGCTAACATACCAATTAACCTTAAAAGAAAAGTATTTGACCAATGCGTGTTACCGGTCATGACCTATGGGCTTAAACTATGACTCTAACTCTAACCGAGACTAGAGCTTGAAAATTGAGAGTGGCACAAAGACGAATGGAACAGTCTATGCTGGGAGTGACGTTTCGGGACCGAATAAGAAACGAAGATCTGCGAAGAAGGACGAGTATTGTTGTTGTTGTGGAACGCATAGCGAATTGAAATGGAACTGGGCAGGCCATGTAGCGAGAATGCATGATCAGAATCACGATGGACGAGCAAAATTACAAATTGGAGGCCAAGAGCAGACAAACGTAGTAGAAGAAGACCACCTATACATTAGGCTGACGACATCGGGCGTATCACCAAAACTTGACAAAAAAGAGCACAAAATCGTGTAGAATGAAGAAGTAAGGGAGCCCTATGTCCAGCAGTAGATGTGACAAATAAAGGCTGGATGATGATGATGAACACAAACAATATTTGTTTATTTCTTTTATGTTTGTATTTTGAGAACGATTTCCGAAGTGAAAATTTGAAACGTCAATAAACTTATTTTAAACTTCAACTGTGGCCTATTACCATTAAAATAGTAAATGCAAATATATCATTTACTTACGAACGTAACTTGTTATTTGACTTCTTTGAAACCTGTGTGGATTTAACAGACTGGCTAAGTTTTGCTAATATATATATATATATATATATATATATATATATATATATATATATATAAATATATATATATATTTATATATATATATATATATATATATATATATATATATATATATAATATAATATAATATATAATATATATAGCAAAACTGGTAGGATTATCGACCGAAACGTAAATAACAATTTATTGTGTTCATGTATTGGGTATGCGATCTGTTATTAAAAAAAAACTCTTTTTTTTCTTTTAATTCTCTATATTTCAGTGATTTTTTGTCGGCTTCATCAGGAGACAACTAAAATATGGTTAAAAGTTAAAAAAGGAGTTAAAAAAGATATTTAAAAAAAGTTGTTGTACATAATATGTTCAAAAGCAGTACTGACAGTATTGTTTAAAAGCACCTAGGTCACTAGTAATTAAATATAAAAAAAAACAGAGCAAACAAAACCAACCAAGAAACAATTAAAACACAATAAAATTACACATTAAAAATATAATTGTAAACAGAAAAAGTATTTGGACATACTAAGAATATTACTGCATAGTTTTCTCTATTTATTTGAGACATTTCCAAAAACAATCTTTTTTTGTAATTATTTTCTTGCTGTAGAACCCTGACATTTGAATAGTCAAATTGATGGCCAGTTTTACAGTGATGGTCAACTGCCGCACATGTATTCTTCTGTTTTGTGCAGTCACTTTTGTGTTTTGTGGCCCTTTGTTTTAGCCATTGAGAAGTTTGGCCAACATAACAGCTCTGGCAATCCAAGCAAGGCAGTTTGTAGATAACATTACTTTTATTTACAGTTGGTGTCTTGTCTTTTACTTTAGAAAACTGTTGTCGGTTTTCTAATAAATTATATTGGACAATTTTAATGTTAGTAAATTGTTTAAATAAACCAGTCACAGAAGGTGTTAACTGTTTTATTAATGGTAGTTTTTATATTGGATTGTTTGTACTGATCCGATATCAGTGGGACCGTCAAAAATGTCTGAGTTAAATATCAATTTTTTAAGGATATGTTTTGGGTTTCCATTATTTTGAAAGATGTTTAACAGCAAATTTAAGTTTCTGTTTATGAATTTATCATCACTAATATACCTTGCCCTATTCTTCATTACAATGACTGTATTAAACTTTTGATGAGTAGGATGATTTGAAAAAAAGGTTAAACATCTTCCAGAGTGTATTGGCTTTTGATACCAATATATCAATATTTTGTTTTGTTCTGTTCTTATTATTTTGGTGTCCAGAAATGATATCGAACAATCATTTTCAATCTCTAAAGTAAATTGGATATGTTTGTTAAAGTTATTGAAAATATTCAAGGTATTTTGAATTTGTGAAGTAGGAACAGAACATATAAGATCGTCTACAAATTTTTTAATAAAGGGTAAAGGAAAAGGTAATTGTGGAATAATGACATCCAGCAAATGGTCCAAAATGATGGTTGCTATTATGGGGTTGAGTGGACTACCCACAGGTGCTCCAAATATTTGTCGATAGAATTTATCATTAAAGCTAATATAGAATTATAGATAGAATTTATCATTAAAGCTAATATAGGTATCCACAAGGAATCTACGTTCCTGTAGTTGGCTGTATGTATACCATATATTAAAAAATTTATTAAAAATCCTTTGTAAAAGGTATATATTTAGGCCCAAACGGGCTAAGTTAAAAAGACAAAACGTTTTCGGAATCCATATTCCATCATGAGTGTCTAAGAGTACATGAATGTAGCCACTAGATACATGGGTAAAAACCCGTTAACAAATAATTAATTACATTTAGTTTAAAAATTTTCTTATAATGTTTTACGTGTTTTACTAATGTGTCTACGAAGACACACTGTCAGTTGCTCCCATACAGTCTTCGTAGACACACTGTCTTAAGACTAGCAACTTCAACGTGGAGTCATATGTCGCCATGTTACCTAATCCAACGGTAACTTTAACATCCTAAAACATTATAAGAAAATTTGTAAACTAAATGTAATTAATTATTTGTTAACGGGTTTTTACCCATGTATTTAGTGGCTACATTCATGTACTCTTAGACACTGATGATGGAATATGGATTCCGAAAACGTTTTGTCTTTTTAACTTAGCCCGTTTGGGCCTAAATGCATACCTTTTACAAAGGATTTTTAATAAATTTTCTAAAATAGGTGTTCTCAAAAACATAGTTCAGAAGTGTTAAAAAACTGTCCTTGGAAATTGTTGTATAATTTTTAATGAGATTTCATTTTGACTGTATTGTATTACTGACTAGATCTATTGGTATGTTAGTAAATAACGATATGACATCTAACGAAATTAAAACATAATCTTTCGGTAAAATCAACTCTCTGACATCATTAACAAATGAAAATGTATCCTTTGCATTATAGTTGTTCACTTCGTCAAAATCTTAAGAATATTAGCAAGAAATTTGGATAAGTCATAAGTTACTGAATTTATAGAACTGACAATGGGTCCAAGTAGTAAACCTTCTTTATGGATTTTTGGTAAGCAGTAAAGTTTTGGACAAGATGCTTTGTATATAGTCAGTTTTTTGGCAAATTCTTTATTTATTTCTAAGTTATTCCTCATAGTTTTAATAAGTTCATTATAAGAAAATTATATCGTAATAGTTGGATCTCTTTTTAGCTGAAGATATGTAATTTTATCATTTAATAAGCCTTCTGTTTTTTAACATATTCGGTTTTGTTCATTGCTAGTGTACACCTTCTCTTATCTGATTGTAAAATATAAAGATCTGGATGTGATTTTAAGAATTTTTGAGTTTCTTTGAATATTTTATTTAAAACACTAGAAGTTTTCCAACAAAGAACATTCAACCATGATTTGCCCTATTCTTTTTTTGTTCCTTTTGGAAATGTTGCGATCCCACCATAAGGAGTTCAGATATTCTACAATTTTACGTCCTGATTAATTCGGTGTTTAATTTCGATTTCTCCCAAGCCGTTCTTTTTAATGAGTGCACCTAAATATTTAAATTTTGACACTTGTTCGATTTCCACGTCCTCGTCTATCGTATTATCAACACTTCAAAACCTTGCATCTGAATTGGTAACTAAATATTCTGTTTTCTTTATGTTGATTTGATAAGAATCATGAGCTAGGACGACTTGGTCATCCGCAAAGTTCAGGAAGTACAGTACGTCATTTACGACATACCGCATTTTTGTCTTAGTCCTTTAGTTATTTTTATTGTCTCTGACAGTCTATTTTTGATTTTTAGGTAAGTAATGTTATCCCTGTATACTTCTGTGAGTAAAAAGGTATTGACTAATGCCGACTTATTGTATAGCTTGCCACAATTTAGATCTTGGAACTGTATCATACGCCTTTTCTAGGTCGACCTAGACCTTAGCCAGAAGGTTACACGAACTTTACTTTTTTAGATCGATGAAGGCTAGATGTATTTCGTTATCAACCGCTCTCCTCTTTTCTATACAGAAATAAATATATACAGAAGAAATTTCGGAAATCGCAACCTTCCTCGCCAACATTTACCCTTACCTTATAGATAAAAAATAAAAGGCGGATATACCCTAGTGAGAAATAAAATATCAAAGCAAACAAACCAAGATAACCAGACAGAACCAGAAAGAGATATCTACCTCAATCGAAACTTAACATTCGCAACATTAATTTAGTGGAAACCTATGTGTAACAGTGATCTTACACTAGGTAAAGCATGTTCTACTCCAAATAAACAAACGAAAGGAATATAAACAAAAACTCCTTCCTTACCTTAGAGACCAGTATTATCTCCTGCTGACAACTCCTAGTCGTTGATGCGGGTTGGTTTGTTTACCCATTAACGCTCAAAGCAATTAATATTTTAATTGGGAAAAACCCACAATTTAAATTTGAAATGATCTAGTTGACGTTTTAATTTCGTCTTTCGAAATCGTTCTCACAATACAAAACATTAATTAATGTAACAAATTTTGAAAAAGAGAATAAGAAGTATTTCTGAGAAATATTTATTTCCCTGGACTATTTTGGCAAAATATATTTCTTCTAACTCTTAACTACTCTAACTATTAATATATATTTTATTTATTTCCCACCATTCTTGCGATAGCCCGAAAAACCCCTTTTTGCCTAACTCTGGCCTCCGTCGCCAAACTGACAGTCGCATTCATTCTAAAAAAGGAATCTAATATATCAAGTGGTCGAAAGTTGTAGAAGCAATTTCGCGAAAGTGGATAGGAAACTAACCTTCAAATCAATCTCACTAAAAGGCATGGCAAACCATGGTAATCCCATCAGACTTTCGCGATGGCTGCTTTCGATATCACCGTAATTATCGTTGTGGGCCCACATCACAACCTGCAACAGAAATAGGACAGGTAATTATTTGGATATATAAATGGATTTTTATATTGTGTAACACAAACAAAGGGCAGTAGCTACAAAAAATATTATTAATAAATTTAAATTGGATAATATTATTTTTAATACAGTACGTTATGTTTTAAATTAGATATGCACCCTATAAATGGCAACACTGCGCGCCGTCAACTGTCCACAAACCTTTGTTGTCGTGTTGCCAATAATTTATCACTATACAGTGGTTGTTTATAGTAATCACAGCGTAGATTTTTAATTGATTTTTGTAAACGACGTGTCTGTTTATAAGCCTGCAGAAAAGGTTCAGCTAAAAAAAGGGTTTTATGGTGGTCATTCTGGACAACAGTGTATAGATTCATTTTCTGTGTTTTTTTGAGGAGAAACCAATTCAACATTGTTAAAAATATGAGTTGCTATTGCCTCAAAAATTGCAGTAAATGTCACGCTCAAGAACTGTCACCAGAAAAAGTTGAAGGAGGAAAGACAATACCGAGATACACAAATTTGTGGAACAATCGAGGTAGATTCAACACGTTCAAGTAAAAGCGTTGCTTGAGAGTTAGATGTTAACAATGTTACTGTAACAAAAGTATGGAAAAAGCTCGGTTACAAGAATTTAAATATTCGAAAATTTAGCAATTTTATCCAGACGAATACTTTTGAAAAATGGAGTTTTGTTTTGGAAACTCTAGTAACGAAGGCTAATAATAAACCAAACATTTGATTCACTAATGAATCTTCTGTTTCGTTAGTAGGAAGACACCAATACTTCCATTGCGAGGTATTGGACGCGGAAAACCAGCACAAAAATGTTGTTTATTAAACTCAACATCCTCAAAAAGTTAACGTCTGGACTGGCATTTTAGGAGACTACATAATAGGTCGATTTTATTAAGGGTTTAACTTTAATATGTTCTTCCCGCTATTTTCAATGTTCCTAATGTAAATCTGGAGTTATCAGTGAAACAGACGATAATAAGTGGCCTGCGCGATCTTCTGATCTTACACCAGTTGTATTTATTTTTGGGGACATTTAACAAGCATCCTCTATGATCATCCCGAGGCTAGAGCCCAAAATATTGATGAATTAACAACCGAATAAAAGAAGTCCAATTCTGTTACAGCAAAAACTCTTTTATGTGTTTGCCGAAATTTTTATGACAGATTGGCATACTATTTAGCGGTATAAAATCGAAAATTTAAAACATTTCTGTAGGGTATAAAGAATTATTTCTTATTTTATTAGGGATTATTTTTAATTTTCAATAAGAGTATATTTTTTGTTTTATTTTTTTAAAGACATTTGCTTTTATTTTTAATTCAGTAAAAAAATTGTTCAAATTATTTAAAAACCGATACAAATTCACCCTCTTATAAAGATCAGTGTATTTTTATCGAGTTTATGTTATAAGAAATAGACCGGGTACACGGAAAGAAAACAGAAATCGAAGGACGGAGGACGGATAGAACGATATTTTTCGTTTTATGTCTAGGTGTCGGAGGGAATCGGAGAATTATAATTTTCTCTCCTTCTTCGTCTTATTTTTATATAGACATAATTCTGTCTGTTTTTTAATGTGCCTCCAGTAAGTTGTCGTTCCATCGTTTTCGTTGTCTTCCTACTGATTGTCTAAACCGTCTCTTGCCATCTTTACTACCGTATTTGTTGTCATTTGGCTTCCATGATCGGTTGTCATGATCATTTCATTCTACTCTTCTATTTTTTACCCAGTTTTTTATGTTTTCCACCTTGCATCTACATTGTATATCTGTACTTCTAGCTCTGTCCCATAGTGTCTTACTTTAAATATGTCATTATTGGTCTAAAGACTGTTTTGGTAAATTCTACCTTTTATTTCTTTCCCGATATTTTTATTTCTTCATATTGTTTTATTCAGGTAGCCTGTTTACTATATTCACTTTATCTTCCACATTAGTTTCGAGCTTTCCGTAGCTAGATAATGTGATGCCTAGATATTTAAACTATCACTTGTTCTACTATCTGACTTTTCAGCTGCAATTTATATCTTAGTAACATTGCTGTTGTAACCATGCATTTTCTCTTTTTTGGGGAAATTAATATGTTAAATTTTCTGGCGGACATATTAAATCGGTGCAGCATACGTTGTAAATCATCTTCACTCTGAGAGAGTAGTATTGCATCGTCTGCATAGCAAATTATTTTAAGTTGTTTTTCTCCCATTTGGTATCCTTTTTTAGTTCTTACATTTTTATTATTTTAGCCATATCCAGGTTGAACAACAGAGGACTCAGGGAATCTACCTGTCTTATCCTATTGCCAGCTTCAATAGGGTCGGTTAGTTCTTCTTCCACTTTTACTTTTATTGTGTTGTTTTGGTAGATACATATGATATGCTGGTCTGTTGTATTCTAATGATTTCTCTTGCACTTGCTTCATTATAAATATGGCGTGCATGATCTTCCTGACCTAAGACTTTGTTGTTGTGCTGATAGTGATATAATTTTATTCAGTTTATTGGTTATCACTATGGTTGTTAATTTTAGTATTGTGTTTAATAAATTAATTCCTCTGTAATTTTCCGGGTGCGATTTATCTTCCTTTTTGAAGAGAGGTATTAGGATGCTTGATCTCTTTTCCTGAGGAATTCTGTTTTGTTCTATTATTTTTTGGATTAGTTTTAACAGTTGTTTGGTCAGATCTGGTCCTCCGTACTTTAGGTGTTCCTTTTGTATACTGTCCTTCCCAGATGATTTCCTATTTTTTAATTTCCTTGATGCTTTCTTTACCTCTTCCTCCTCAAGAAGAAGCTCTGCCAGTGTTCCCTTTTTATTTGTTTAACTAAAGTATTCGTTTCATTACTAATTCCTTTATAGTGGTTGTATGCCTGTTGTGTTTTGTAATGTAAAAAGGCTTTCTTCTTTTCTTCACATTTTGTCTTCACTTCCTCTCTAAACCATGGTGTTTTCTTTTTTGATGTTAGTGTTCGTTATTTTCCTCTCGCCAAGTGATTCTGTTGCTGCGTTGATTATGTTATTTTTGGGTTTTTTTTAGCTTTTCTCGGATCCAATTATCGTTTTCTAATATTACGTTCCCAGCGATCTTCTCTGACATTCTTTTCCTGTATAAGTATTTCGTGAATTTCGTATTTAGTCCTTAGAATTTGATTTTTGTTTATGTTGGCGCCGCTCTCTTAGGTGGAAAGTATTTCAGAATAATTCTTATTTTACATAGTACTAGTCTATGGTCGCTACCTACATCTGCTTAGTTGAAGCATCTTGTAGGAGGTAATGTTGCCGATTTTAGCGCTTTATGTAATGTGCAATATCTAATCCAAAACTGAACGCACTGTATAAATTGTGTTTTACTTATTTTTAAATATTTTATTATGTCCTTTTTTTGCTTATTATGTTCTTTCTCACTTTCTCATTTTTTTTTCTATTTTGTTTTCTCCCTTACTATTTTTTCTTAATTCTTAATAATTGTATCCTTTTTCGTCACTTCACTCATTCACCTAAGCATTCTCATTTCTGCCATATGAAATCCGTTTCCATTGGTTACATTTTAAGTAGCATGCTAGATGCGTGCTACTTGCTACTTGCACTTGCCACGCCAGTTTGGTGGGCGCTCTCACTTAGGCTTCAGTCAATTCCATGCGATTACGCGTCCCCTCTTTCCTTGTCTAAGGTTACACCGGACTGTTAGGAGTAGGGCCTTACCTAAGGTTAGTAAAAGATAGGTTGCATGGTAACAATGATATGGACATAACGAAATATGTCACCGTGACGTCACCCAGGGGGTCAATTTTACGAATTGTTTGAGAACAGAATAGGATAAGTGGTTTGGAGAATATATTTTGTTGTTAAATATCGTTAGAATTTTTGATTATGATTATATCTTGAGAGGAAGACTTAACCCTCAGAGAACTGTCGGCGATCACGCACTCTACCCATCTTAAGTAATTTTTGGCTGCGGATCCAGTATTCTCAGCTATTCAGTCTAAAATACGACAGTAAAGAGTGCATAACTTTTGTTTGGAACTAACGACTTTTATATGCATAGCTGGGTGTATTAGATCCACTTATAGCAATTACGTAATTTTTATATAATTATTGTGTTTAAGGTAAATATAATTTTATGACAGGTTAATTAAGTATATCCTAATTTACTTTATTTGAATTTGTTTTTGTCGTTTTTTTAAGTAATATAATAAGCATTTTCTTCTTTTAAGTTTAAAATGGCTCGAAATAAACCTCTTACCGTCGAAGATACTGATGTCTTATTTCAAAAGCCTAAAGCTTTTAAAGAGAATATTGTGACAGTTCTTCCTGGTTTAAAAGGTACGATTCGCGCTAATAATCATAAACAATGCTTCGGACCAACGAAAGAATTTAAGTTATTAAATAGCAATATGGGATATTCAAACGAAATAAAAATTTTAGAAATTAATTCGCATTCCGAATAAGCTAGTTAAATATGGCTTAAAAATACAAATTTTGGCAGATTCCAAGACGCATGACATGTATAACGCAGAAATAAACAGCGGCAAAAACGGAAACAAAACTGCAAAATCACCCTTCTCTCATCATACAGAAGTGGTTTTACAGGCGACTCAACCAACTCATTCCAAAAGACCTAATGTGACTGGCGATAACTGGTACACTTTAGTAGAAATGGTTCGTGAATTTAAAAAAAAGGATATTACTTACTTACGTTGGCAGAATTAAAAAATATAATACTTCCGCCAGAATTTCTACCTTAAATAATAAGACCAGTTGATATTTCTTTGTTTTGATTCACTTTTAATATTACCATGGTGCGTTATGTACCTAAGAAAGCCAAAAGTGTAATACTGATATCTACAATACACCATGACCATGTAGTTGATGAGAAAACAAAATGTGTGGATACCTTAGATCAGAAATGTTCCAATTATTCTGTAGCTCGATCAAAAAGAAGGGCAATGGCAGTATTCTTGCTCTTCTAAATATTGCAGGTA